TGCTCAAGTCCTCATCTGTAAATTTGCAGTTTTTACTTGTGTTTCCTATCTTTTTACCGATGCCTTACTTGACTAGCATGGCTCGCTGGCTCGCAGTTTGTCAAGACCCAAAAACAAAGCTATGTCAGTGTTAGCTTGTTAAATACCTCGGATCCCTGGCATCTTGTACACAACGGAGATTTTAAAATTTTGGGCCAGAAAGGCGAAGAAAGTCAGCAACGTCTGTTTCTACGTACAAAACCATCTTTTTTCAATAAGAGCCAGTAAAAACCTGTACATCAAAAGATGAATTTTATTTAAACGAGAATTGAAAAAAAATTCTCTTCATACCGAAGGCTTTGCCTTTGGCCTCAGTTCGGCCTCTCTTTGAAAAGGGGGCCCAGGCCAACTCGGAAATGATCACACATGATATCTTTAACTTGATTGGAGCTGCGCCTCTAAATATCGAGCAAAAAAGTGAATTGAGCTCTCAGGCCTGATAGATTGTTAATAGGATGGACTCAAGATACGTTTGACGATGTGTGCAAATCTGATGTTTGAGATCGTGGACAAAAGCCAAATTGTATTCATTGCACTCTTAGCTTTGTTTGGTCTGAAAGAACCGTCGCTTCAGGCCGATAGTGTCTAGTCACTAAATTTACATCTGGACTGAAAAGAAGACGTTTCAACTTGAAAGAGACTTGGACCTCTCCCTTTTCGTCTTGGAATGGAACTTTTTTCCTTTGATGTTAGGAAAAAATTAGACAAGCTGGTATAGTAAAAAAGCTACGTCTATTATTATGGGTTAGTACACTATTTTAACGAACTATTCCGCTGAAATATTCATTAATCTCTTGCATTTCTCTCGAAACCGCCATAATTGTTCCTTTTATTCTCCTCTGCCAGTCCACTCGGAAATAAAGATCACCAAAATATGCGTTAAAGTGCGTCAGACGAAATATTCATCTCGGTGACCATTGATGGATCCCCTCGAAGTTGGCACGAACTACAATCTCCTATTAAACTGGACGAAGGAAGAACACATGGCACCATTCCAAGCAATGATTTATTTTAAACTTCTAAACCCACAATGATATTGAACTACCCAAAATCCTTGTTTTCAGCTAAAAAGATGTAAATTATAGTTTGAGATATTAAAGAACTAGACTTGTAAACTAAACAATTAAATAAAACAAGAAATAATTGTTATCTTTCTCCAAGTCGATGATCGAATGGAAAAAATGTTAAAAGTTACGACTAGGGTTGTTAATCGGCTGTCGCCCGTGATAGCTCGAAAATTTCTGCCTTTGTGCCACAGGAAGACCAGATTAGGATGCGTTCTGACGAACGAGGTTAGACTGTGAAGATGTGTTTACTGTGCCACTGGCTAAACTTGACTTATATGAGGACCGGGCGTTCAGCACTGCTGAACTTGCCTCTCAGTATACGCAATTCCGCATCAGTAGATATTTAAAAAAAAAATCATTTTAATATCTTTTTAAAGAAGCCTATGAATTTTTACTTATATTTCTAGTATATGTATTTACATTTTATCTTTATCCTGGTACTTTTAGATCTGTTTAGATTTCTAACTTCAAGAGAGAATGAGCTAGATCGTTCTCTCTTGGTTGCATACATGTAGTAATATTTTTAATTTTTGTAATAATGTATTTATCTCAGAATTTTTAGCTTTCAGTTTTTATGTTAGCATGATCAATTAAAGAGCTATATAAAAGAGCAGCTGAATAGCACTTTTCAAATAGATATATTTCATTACTATTATTTTCTCTAAAAACCTATAAGCAAAACTAAAAACTAGGCGAAACGAGCAAAAATCAAGTAATTTAGCTTTTATTGTAATCTTTCTAATGAAAGTATTGTTGCACCCAAGCTCAACCAGATATTTCTACAGCCTCGTTTTCGGTGTTCGAGCAGCTCCTCGGTAAAAAAGCTTGACCTTTAATCCATGAAGTGCATTCGCGAATTTTTTCACACTGACGTTTTGTTTTACCCCGATCCGCTCTCAGAAATTTAGTGCAAAGTCGATAATCTGTTCTATGGTATAATACTCCAAATTTTTCTCACGACACAGCTAATTGAGCTGAAACGAGCATTACTTTATCATTTAGGGAATCCTCATTTAGATCTCAGTGTTTTTTATGGCGTTTACTTGGTAACAATAATCTCCGACTACTTCTCGCTTAACTTATATCCCCCTGCTAAAACGGGTTGCATTTAATTTTCAACTAGTAATAGTTGACACTACAGCTGCCCCCGTTCTGTATATTGTCAGTCAATAGTATTCTTGCTCGTTGTGTAGCTTTTTGAAATATACCGATTCATAATGAAGATTTTCACACTGACAAATTCCCCCGGGGGGGGGGGGGTACTCCCTTATAAGGGCTTAATGGGGACGTGCAGCCAGCCAGGGTATGTTTTTCGAGATTTTTGTCTTAAACAGGGTATCGATTTTATCATTTTTTTATTTTCATCAAGGTATCGATTTTGTCAATTTTTGTCTCAAACTAGACTGCTTGCAGTCCGCCTTTTCTCTTAAAATCCGTCCAGACGAGACGAAAAAAGAAAGCCTGTGTACAGACGTCCCTTCTCCCTCAGAAAAAAAAAATGTCTCTTATTTTTTCTTATCGGGCTTACGCCCTCGTTTCTCGCGACAAGCGGCCTCGCCGCTCGCGTGCTTAGGTTTCGCGTGCAGTAACTTTGCAAACAAAAATAAGAGACTGCTCGCAGTCTAGTCTTAAAGAGGGTATCTTTTCTTGGACGATAAACAGCGTGCGCCTGTGTTTTACGAACAAAACTACAGCAAAATCTTTTTTTTTGGTTTCGGGTTAAATGTCTTAAACAGGGTATCAAAAATCGGAATTCTGTCTTAAACAGGGTAGGAAAATCAGCGATTTTTGTCTTAAACAGGGTCAGGGTATCAGGGGCCGGGCCGCACCTCCCCACCCAAGGATATATCGAGTACCCCCCCGGGCATATTCCATACAATAGGTGAGATAAATACCCGGGGATAAATACAGGAAACGCAAGGTTCCATGCACAGTTTCAGTTCGATTTACACAGCTTTGATCAAAACATTCTCAGTTTAGAGATTAGTTCATTCTAAACCATAACAAAAGATTTCATTAGAAGTTGAATTTTTCCCTATTTCTCTTTCATTTTTTACATTCAGTTCATTTTATTTGTCTGAAAGTAAGCCTCAGAAATTAAAAGGACGTTGATCAATTCACGCTCGTTCATTCTAGTCTTATTTTAAACTTTATAGCGGAAGGACATCTGTGAGCAGGGAATAAGTCAGCACAGAATTTGACTGTCGGCGCGAATTTCTGTAATAGTCCATCGTTCTGCTAGTGATAAGATAGCCGTTGTTTACTCGTCTTGCTTGTTTGGGGCTAAGTCTTATTCCGGTCAAAGAGAGAGAATGAGAGTCTGGCAAGGTTTCCAATCAAAGATTTGTGAACTCGTGTCTGGCAAACTCTCCAACTGTTTATATATACGCATTTTTTGTACCTTATAACTTCATCTGGGCTTAACGAGTGTCTTTTGGTCCATAACTTTCAAAACAACTGCCCCACAGAATGTCACTGATAACACGTAACGCAAAAGAGTATCGAAGTATGACTGCATAATAAATGTCACAAAATCTACCTAAGCTTTCTGTCTTTACGTTCCTAACCATTTCATACTTCCGAGCGCAAACAATAGAAACGTCATCATTACCTACCAATTCCTCGCGGCCCCTGTTCAAGCAAATCGAGATTTTTTCTGGCATACTGACTGTATATTTCAACTGTAAGTACTTTCCTTAATATATGTGCGAGGTACTAGAGTGCCTCCTCGTCATTTCGCCGTCTGGGCGAAATCCCTGCGGGGGCAAATATATTTCATTTGAAAATGGTGTCATCACGTCAAGGATTTACCTCTCTAGTTTTACAGAGTTTAATTTACATACATTTCTTCGCATACAAATCGTTAGTTAAGACAACCATTATAGAAGACATCGACATGTGTTTTGATTAATCAAGTATTCTGATAAATAACCATCAATTCCAATTAAGGAATCCTGAGATCCCAATTTACTTGGTAGTCCGTTAATCAATACCGATAAATCCGCCATAATAGGCATAAAAAAAAGTTTATGAAATACGTTCCCAAAAGCAAAGTTGTATCTTCTATTTAGATTTGCAAAAGATCATGGAAGGCCAAACTCGCAAACTCGCACACTAGCCAATAATCACTCCCATCAACGGTGAAAAGCGCGTTACAATCTCAGAAAACCTTTTTTTTTTTCTTTAAATTAATTAGTTTCCCTTTTATGAACGTGTGAGATGAAAAAGAGGGGGAATGAAAACCTTAAAATGGATCCACAGTAAAATTATACTAAAGCAGATGGGTCCAGTTTACTTAAATTATAGCTGTTTAAACCCTGAATTGGTCTGAGAATAACAGAGTTTCTGTGGTCACAAGAACCCATCTTTAAGGTAGGGCAGAAGGTAGTTAAAAGACTATTAGCATTCGGTGCAATGTTGGTTCTTTTTTAACCTAATAGACAGTAGTTCATTTTTGTTGAAACTGATTCGTAAGTTAAACCGGTCCCTGATATCTTCAAACTTTTACCACGCATTGACAAGTTCTACAGCCATATATCTTGTTTGGCTCAAAACGGCTATATTCCAGAAAAGCTGAGCTGGTTTTGAAAATCTGAGCGCTCGAACACTTCTGCATCTAACTGGCAATGTGTAAAACGACGGTCTTTAAAATAGCGCCATTCCTGAATACTTTAGTCAACATTGCTACGTTCATCCATCGAGTATTAAAACCTCGCGTTACTTGCATAAGGAATCTAAGCATTGTTTAACTTTCCTTTCCGTTTGCAGATTGCTCAAGCTGTGCTCATTATTAATAAAATACATCTTACGTTGAGATGGACAGAAATACAAGCTATGGCACAGTTTCATTTGTTTCAAGATTTTCATTCAAATAAAAGTACACAACCTCTGAGTGTTCCAAGCACATCTTTATTGCAACTAATCGCTGTTTTCTAACATTTCACTTAATCAGCTAAAAAATTGTGGTTATTGTATCATTCCCTTCGCATAAGCACCCTTCTTAATGGACAGACAGCCACGTTTAAAGTTTCTTTTTACTTAGGTTAGCAAATGAAATGTTTTAGTGCATTGCTACGCAACATCTCGTTTATGCTTGGACCTTGGCGTTGTGCTCTATACCCACTTGTACAGGGCGCTGTTTATGTTGTGCTTCTGGCCTTTGTAGTAGTTTGCAACTGCCAGGTAAGTATGACCTTTGTACTCAAATGACGTCATACCATGCGCTCCATGTGTGGGAATCTCTTGGTACTTGATGAACTTCGCTCCAGAGGCCTGGTACACAACTGACTTGGTGTTGTACTTCTGACTATCACCATAGTGATTAGCCACACCAAGGTAAGTTTGAGCGCTGATCACAAATGGACTCCATGCGATGGCTCCTCGAGTAGGAATGGACTGGAACAGGACAAACTTGTTACCATTCCACTTGTAAATGAACGAATTGGTGTTGCGTTTACTTCCAGAATATTGGTTAGCAAAAGAGAGGAACGTGTGACCGTTGATGTTGAAAGACTTAACACCGCGCGCTCCGTAAGTCTGAAGAGACTGCAGTTTAACAAAGTGACCTCCTGACCACTTGAACACAGTGGACTGAACAGAATACTTGTGTTGGGAGTTGTACTGGTTTCCAAAAGCGATGAATGTGTCACCGTTTATCACAAACGCCGTACATCCCAAGGCACCTTCAGTTGGTATGTCTTGAAATTTGTTAAACTTGCCGCCGCTCCATTCGTAGATAACTGACTTTGTAGAGTGGGTACTTCCGTCATGGTAGTTTGCTACTGCGAGAAAATTTTTTCCATGTATCTTGAAGTACGTCAAGTGGCTTGCTCCGTTTGTTGACAATTTCTGAAAGTCGACAAACAGCTTTCCATTCCATTGATAGACTGTAGAGTCCAGCCGGTATGTTCCATCGTAATGATTAGCCACAGCAAGGAAATGTTTGTTAGCAATAGAAAAGTACTCCAGATCAATAGCTCCTCTTGCCTGAAGGGTCTGGTACAAAGACAATCTTCCAGTTGAATTGTCCATCTTGTAGATCATGGAACCTGTCTTGAATTTTTTAATGTCCCCATGACAGTTAGCAAAAGCAAGAAACAAGCTTCCATCAATGGTGAAATGTTCCACATCTGCTGCTCCTCGGGTTGGAAGATCTTGAACTTTCTCAAAGAAGTGGAATCCAATAGAGCAATCTTTCACAAGAAAAAAAAATGTTGCAAATCTTTATTATCAAGCAATTACTATAAAAAACAACTAGAATAAATTGAAAAAATAAGGTAGAAACGTACATGTAACTCATGTGTTGTGTTTTTGCAATTTTAATGTGAAGGAGCCACGTTTTCATGAAATTAAAATTCAGCAACTCTTCTTTTCACTGAATCAACGTACATGTACATCGTAGATAACAGTAATAAATAATATTCATACCGGCTAAACAGCACTTCGATTTGCTCTAAAAGGCAAAATAAAAAGGTCAAAATATAATTAAATAACAAAGCTAACAATCTGATAATGTAGTTATTTATGGAAACTATAGGGTTTAACATATGTACCTTCAACTTTTTCTATCGGAAATCTCCCTTGACCGGACATTAAGGGATGTAAAAAGGCTCCCGCTGTCCGAATGACATTGTGCTAATCTAATGATAGCATCATGTTTGGTGTCAGTAAACATAGACTACGAGCATTATTTTGTTCTTGTTTCCTTAAATTAGTGGGACATGCGAGCTGACTTGTACCAGTAAAAAGCTCGATTGTCACTTGTCATGGCCTTGCCGCTCACTTGCGCACGCTCTTCCCTTTAAAAATAACAGGAAAAAGAAGATGCAAGACGTATATCAAGTCTATGGTAATTTAATTGACGGCTTATCGTATAAGAATTATTAATGCATAAGGGTTATAGAGAGTGAAAGTCTGGAAAATGCTTTGAGACATTTACCTTTGTATCACACGTTCCCGGCATTCCTTTTTGTCCTTGTGATCCCTTCTCTCCTTGTGATCCTTTGCCACCACGAGATCCTTTCTCACCCTTTGTGAAGAAATCAAAAGAAATTATTAATGATGAAGATCTTTTAATATTCAAGAAGATAGCTAAAAGATCTCGGTAATTATACGAACTGATCGCAACTTTGTCCTTTAGCGATACAAAAAGAAAAAAAAATAATGAAGATTTTAACAGAAGCATATAACTCCGTTCGGGGTTATATGCTTCTGATTTTAAAGATCATGCGGTACTTGTTTTACATCAGAAAGGAATCCATAGTTTTGGAGAAATCAATTTGACCTAAACCGAGTAACATTTACAACTGCACAAAAGCAAGACTACTAAAGAAAATTGAATGAGTCGTTTGTCGCTCTAAGGATAGAGCATGCGCACTTCCATTTTGTTTTGGACTCTGAAAATTAGTCATTTCTGTCTTCAACTTAAGAAGTATAAAGTTACGCTTACCTTAACACCACCATTACTGTTTTTATCCATTCCTGGTTCTCCTTTCTCCCCCTACAACAGAAATAATGATAACCACACAAGATAATAAATAATTAATAATAAAGCTATTGAACCGTAAGAAAATAGTGACAACAATGATGATGAAGATAATAGATAAGAAATAGAGATAATGAAAAGTACGAAAAAAAAACGTGAAACTAATGATCAGATGAAATTAATGAAAAAGGACAGGAAACAGGCCGGAATAAACTAATTTAAAGGCCAAGCCTGCAGATTTTAAGGTGACTAAAGACGGTTTGATAATCATTACCATTCGTTGGGATGTTATTTAAGACTCGTTGCTGGTTACAAATATAAAGCTCAAATTTGACAAGGGCAAAATATATTAAAGACATTACATTCATTATTAAAGTTAAAAGTAAGATTTCGATCGTTGCAACACGGACGGTTGAAAAGAAACCTAAAATTTTTAAATTGTTAGGTTTACTCAAAATTCAGTCCCTGGATTTCCTTACTATTAGTAAGTCTCATATTTTAAAAGCACCTTAACCAAATTGCAACAAACAGTTCTTGATATTTTTAAGAATTCAAAATAGCTTTCGCGTCACAAAATTCATGTGTTTGTTGTTTATTTGAGGCTTTCATTGACTAAAGTACGACATGAAGAGGATTTCTGCTAAATTTCGTTAAATCTTAATGGGTAGATTTTAAAGTAAAATTATTGTCGTTTGTCTACATTGCCTTTGAAAGTCAACAAATCAAAGACAACTGGCAAAAACTGACAACTATAAGTGAATGGAATCTTTTTATTTTTGATAATAAGAGCAGACAGTTACCCAAACTTTTGTAATCATCTATGCAACGTTAGTTAAATTATCCTTATTCGTATTTCTATTATTTTTTTCATTTTTTTTATTTTCTGCATTATTAGTCTCTTTTAGATGTGAAAGCGTTAAAGAGTATTGAAGTTGAAGTAGAAAACTTCTAAGCATTCTTCTCAACCTGTCCTCGCACTTTTTTCTTCAAAAGCTCATTGGCTGCATATCTCCTCATGATTAAAAACTACTTGGTCAGGTGTTACGGAGCACGAATTTAACATGCATAGTAAATACATAAAGCATTTCCAGAGAAATTGTTTTCAGCAACCTTAGGGTTAAAATAAGGAACAATGTTATGGGGACCTCTTTCTCTGGGGAGAAGTTGTACTTTATACTTCGAATTTTATGATCTTCACTCTTTTTTAATTTTTGAGCCAGTTTTTACTTTTAATCTAGCAATAAATTAAATTAATTACTTTAGTAACTTTAATGAGGGACCCACTGAAAACCGCTATGGAAAGTTGGGCTCCTTCTTTAAACATTGTTATGAATATTATTATTGTTATTATTATTACTATTATTATTAATATTATTATCATTGTTATTTTTATTACAAAATGCTGAGAGAATAGCCAGTTTGCTTGTCTTTACTGTGGTGGAGATCAAAATAAAGTTAACTGGTCTGGTTATGATTTTGCTGATTTTGCATTGTTCAATATATTCAATGACGTTTTATGGAAGGATATGGATCTAGAAACTAAACACTTCCATTTAAAGGGCAGAACATGTCAATAATACCTTAATGCCAGCATTTCCATCTTTCCCTGGTATCCCTGTTTCTCCTTTTTCTCCCTAACATAGATATTTACAAATTAATAAGAAACCAAAATAAGAAACCAATAAGAAACCAAAGCTGTGAAAACTATGACTCTTCTCGTGGCCGTTAGAGGAAAGTTAATAGTTAACAATATTAGAAACGTGAGACGAAACTTGAGCGTCTTATTTACGACGCGCTATACAAGCAAACGCATTTGATAACCAGCAGTGTTAACCGTCTCTGATCGGATTCAAATCCCTTTCGAAACGAGTCATAAAGACACAGGAACAAACATTAAGGTAAAAACATATTATTATTATTAGCTAATACCGCGTAAATATATATAATTATTCTATTAGCGAAATACAGCGTTCGGGTTCCCTGTGTATATTAGCTTCTGCCTCAGCAGCCTCAGTGGTAGTCTCCCTCGCAGCCGTTTTTAGTATCGTCACGCTACGCTCCTCCTCCTCCTCCTCCTCTGGGGAGAGCATTGCGTGACGATACTAAAAACGGCTGCGAGGGAGACTACCTCAGTGGTTAATAAAGAGAAAAATGTTGTCACGTGGGTGAATGTGGTAGGTGCAGGACCACTTCATGGACATACATGTTCCACTAACAAGGAGTTTATTTATTTTCACTGGTTTTGGTAGTTTAAAGTATAACCAAAACAGCTATTTGAATTTAACATTTGGTCCGAGTTTATCTACAGGCACTTTCCATTCAACAAAAATTCCAGTTTGAAATTTTGGAAATTCCATGTGCCCAATGGAACAGTACATTCCGGTTGCACATGTAAAGACCTGACCTGAGCCACTACGCTTTTGGTTATTGTTCTTGCAAGCAGGATATAAAAGCGCAGTACTGGGGATAACACTTTTGTCAAATGGAAAGGGAGATTTCGGTCGGACAGACTGGAATTACCGCACCGGTCAAAGAGGACCACCTTCAAAGCTAGTCCCGAATATTTCGGTTGGAACAAACCAAAATGGTCCGTTCCATTTTGATGTACAAACCAAAATTTCCCGAATTATTGGTTGAATAGAAATTAATGGCTTAATGTATCTTAACCCAATTGCCCTTGAACCCCCTATAATTGCCCATAAGGATCCACATCCTTTGTATCACTTGCTACGCAAATGCCCGAACTTCAGAAGCTGATATTTTGCATCTGGAACAGAAGGCCTTGAAGCGCACGACCTGTAAACGGCTTTTTGGTATGTTTTAGCTCTTTATTACCGGACAGTGATCAGAAAATGGTTCTACAAGCTTCAAAGCACTTTTCAGCAAAATTCCAAGGGGTAAATGGGTTAACTAGTACCTTAATAATGTTATAATAATTTGGCCCCAGGCCCCTCGGGAGTGGAGTGGGGGGAATTATCAGGCTCACAAAGACTTTTTCAAGGCCTGACACTAACGAAAAAATAATAGACATATTTTTTAAAGGGGGCACTCAGCTGTTACATGGTTGTCACAGACATCAATTTCATACTTTTCAAAAATAATAATGATTGATTCCCTGCAAGACTTCCACAACATTTCGATGACATTATATCGCCAACATTTAAAAGTGTGAACAAGACAGGCATCAGTATATATAAAAAATGAAAGTGTGAAATTACATTTTAAGATAACAAATAAGAAAATAGGGAGTCGCCAAATGTGTGAAGAACAGGTTCTTGAAAAGGGGTTACCCAGAATCATTGCTTGGATTTTCTTGCCATATACTGTCAAGAGATTTGGGGCAAATCAGGTTGAAAGCATATGACTGTAAAAAAATTTACTTGAATTAGTGCCGCCCTTGAGTAAGCACGGCATAAACTTGGGACAAAGATTTTATAGTAATACGCACCACCAAATAATCAAAATCAAAAGACATTCTTTGTTTGTTTAAGACAGCAAATAACAATATCATACTAAATTAAAAAAAACAATTCTTTTAAATAAACGCCACCCTCAAATAAGTGCCGAATTTGAGGCGTGAAAACTTTAATAAGTGCAGCGGCACTTATTTGAGTAAATACGGTATGCTTATTAATGACCGCCCAATTTTGAAATATGTCCTTTCAAAATAAGCCTTGTACCAAGGGAGGATAAAGGGGACAGAGAAGGCATCCCCCATACAGACACTATTCCATAGGTAATTCGTCTCGAGTTATAATTTAGAATCGGGATAAAGTTATCTCGCACGCTGGGTGGATGTTTCGTGGAGGTTTCGCTTGACTTAATGCCATGGAAAACACTGTCGGGCAAAAGGCAATGAAAGTGTAAAGAGATCGAGAGCATTCCTGAATGTTGAAGCGAAATGAGTCGGCGCTCACCTGGGAAAAGGGAAATTGCTAGACTCTTTGACAACCCGTGAAATCAGTTTAACTCAAAGTTGTCGTAACGTAAGTGTTTTGATAACATGAGAATTTCGCCGGTCTATTGAAACCGGTCATTTTGTACAATAAAGCAAGTAGAACGCCAAGTGTTATTTTTGTTGAATAATAAAAGACTAATAAAAGAATAAATATCAAACCAGAAATTGCTCTCTTCAAACTGTAAGTTATAAATGATCCTGAGAGAATATTCAGTGTGTTAAGGATTTCCCTGCTGTACTGTTAGCTCTATACAAGAGAGGAAGGACGATTCTTTTTTAATATCCATTTCGCTGACACAGCTTTAGCAGAAATCTCCTTGTAGTCGTTTTTGTTGACAAACTGAATAGCAATATCGCTCTCTGCGTCTTCCGCCATTTTGTTCTGCGTCAATTCATGAAGGACGCGTGGCTCTGAGCGTGGGTCATCTACGTGGAACACATTCCCGCTATGTGATTGGCTGTTGTCTAATCCCTCTTGAGATCTGTGGTGTTAAAAATAACTCGAGACGAATTACCTATGGAATAGGGTGTGTCACAGGAGAAAATAACAGATTCCCAATATTGGATATTTTAGGGTATTTAAAGAATACCCACAAAAATCCCAAATTTGGCAAAGTGAGACAAGTCCCATCCACGGAATTTCCAACCAAGTTCCCTGATTGGGACTTGTCTCACTCTTCCAAATTTGGGATTTTTGTGGGTATTCTTCAAATACCCTAAAATATCCAAAAATGGGAATCTGTTATTTTTTCCTGTGTGTATGGGGGATGCCTCCTCTGTCCCCTTTATCCTCTCTTGATTTGTACACATGCATGTCCTTTTTAAAGGGACACAGTCAGCTGATGCACATGCGCATTAGATACCATTTCTTTGCTGATTTGCATATCACAAATTGGCATGAAACAGAAAGTAAGAAGCGTACCCGGAATAACTCTAAACAAACCTTAAACTAGTTACAAGCCAAATCCTGATTATAGATCCTAGGCCATATCGCACTCATCTTTTTATATACCATTGAGAATTCATCAATGGATTTTTCCAGGGAAAGCCAAACATCAACGAATACTTCCAAATTTGAAAATCGGTAGAGGTGAGAAATTGCATGAAGTTTGAATCATTGTCGAAGGTTCAAGGTCAAGAAAGCTTGATTTTCCAAATATTTATAACAATTATTTGCTTGCCGATGTTACTGATTTATTTCCCTTGTTATTTTGGTAAATGAAGGCGATTAATCTCCCGGCCGGTGCCTACGCATTTCTCACCTCTTCTGTTCATAAGGTTTTATGAAGGAATTTTTATTTGTCCAATACACAGTGACATAACGTTAAAAAGTTGACCAACTATTTTTGTATATTAAGTCTATAATTTGTAATTTTTTCAGTCGTGTATTCATTTTTGCAAACTATTACCCTAAAAGTTGGTCCTCTTCGTGTTTCCTTCCATAAGAAAGGGTGGATGGATGAACAGGGCATCCGAGAATGGATTCGACAGAGTTTGCCCCGTGCCGAGCGTTCCCTTTTGGTGTGGGACTCATTCCGAGCTCACTTGACCGATTCCGTGAAAGATGACCTGAAGCAGCGAAACATTGACGTCGCAGTTATCCCTGGTGGCCTAACCCCGGTTGTACAGCCCTTGGATAAGTGCCTAAACAAGCCATTTAAAGATAATGTGCGCCGAAAGTACTTGGCGTGGATGACATCTGGGCCATTTGAGTTTACCCCAGCTGGGAAGAAGAAGGCGCCAAGCAGAAATCTTGTCCTCAGGTGGATCAAGGAAGCATGGGCAGAGATACCCGAAGAGATGGTTGTCAAATCCTTCAAGACCTGCGGTATTTCCAATGCCTTGGACGGAACAGAGGACGACGTGGTCTACTCTGAGGAAACCCCAGAAGTAGACGATGAAGACATAGAAGAGAACGAGTTCGACACAGACAGCGAAAACGAAACGGATGGCGAGTAAACCATTGGGTTGAAAGCCCTTGCACGTATCCGTCAAACGGCTCCTTTAGGAGCCACCAATTTCATAAAAGTGAATAACCAATATTCAGAAGTTATTTTTGTTGTGTTTTATTACTTCTGCTTCATTGCTAACTTGACTACAAGCCGGGGGGGTAAAGTTATTCAGCAATTGTATATTTTTAAAATGTAAAACCCTCGGCTATAAGCCGAACCCCGTTCTCCGTGAAAAATCTCCCAAAATTTTGGGTCGAAAACTGAAAAAATCGCTCGGCTTATAGGTGAAGAAATACGGTATGTATACTAAAGAGTAATATATATTATACTGCGCCATTTACTGCCTTTGTTCGTATTCAATTGCGCTAATGTAGTTAATAAGAATTAAGTTGATTTAGAGTGACACTACTTTAACGTGACCTGTTAGTTCTAAGACGATGTATGGTCATTACGATCGGAAATGTGATCCTTGTTGTCAAAGTATGCGTGTAAATATGTTGAGTGTGCACCACGTTTAAAGCTTAAGTGATAAAATATGCTTAGTTCGCTAGAAAAATAACATGATCACTATACCCTGTCATGTACAGTTTAGTATCATTGTCTACCGTCATTTTGTCGTCTGAACGACAATGAAATGTCGACATTTATTAAAAATAGATAGAGCGTACAAGCTTTATGCTAAAGATACAACAGAGAATCGAAGATGAAAACAGACCTGACGTTGTG